AATCATGCTGGCAATAAACCCTGAGGGAAGAATGAGGCAGCAAGTGTTTTTCCTCCTAGCTAACACAGTGACCTTTGAGTTGTGTGCCGAAACAAGCCATGAAGTCCCAGCAAGCCCAGCTTCAGGCTCCTTCCACTGCCCTGCCAGGGGCCAGCTGCAGGAGAGGTGTGGGGTTGGGGCATTCAGCACAGCCTGGGGGACCCAAAGCATAGCCCTAGGGCTTCTATAAGGTGTGGTTTGCTTTCTCTTTTGAGATACCCAGTTTGGGTGAGATCTCTCTCACTTTTCCTCTCCAGATGGGAAAACTGCACCAGAGGGGGCTGCTTCTTTTCTTTTCTTTTCTTTTCTTTTCTTTTCTTTTCTTTTCTTTTCTTTTCTTTTCTTTTCTTTTCTTTCTTTCTTTTTCTTTCTTTCTTTCTTTTTTCTTGCATTCTTTTTATTTCTTTTTTTTTTTTTCCTTTCCTTTTTGGACAGAAACATTTCCTGTCTTCCTTACAAAAAAAAATGTATTTTATGACCATTTTGCTGTGCAGACTTCTCTCTCTCTGGACATTGCTCAGAGTAATGCAACACCTTCAATCTGCAGAACAGATACTTCTGCTTGCCTCAATTTCTTTATCTCAGATCATGCCTTTGTCTCTCTTCGACCTGTTCCTGCTCTTCAGTGAAAACTCACCTTTTTACAAGCTGTCAAATGCAACACTAACAGCTGAGCATTCCTTGAGAAAAGAAAAAAAAAACCAAGAACCATATTTACTTAAAAAATCACTTTGTATTTATGGTTCCTTGGCTTTTTTTATTAGCCTTTTAACAATGTCTCTCACTTTAACACTAATCCAGAAGGAAGGAAGGGGCTCTCTCCCATGCCTGTGGCAGATACATCCAAATGGAGAAGGGGAAAGGAGCTTTTAAGCCACTTCTAATATTCCTAATATTTAAGAGTATTTTGGAGCAAGAAAGAGACCCCACTTCAGTGGTGCCCTTTTCTACTACTCAAAAAAAAAAAAAAAAAAAAAAAAAACAATCCTATTTTCTATCTGGTAATAAGAAGCACAGCAGAGGGAAGGAGGTGATGTGCAAACAGGCTGCTTCCATTTCTGACAGCACAAATGGTTGCTTGGCCAAGAGTTTGGCAGGCTGGGAATTGTAGAAAAGCTCAGGGCAGCTTGGCAAATGTTAAACAACAGACACAGACAGAAAAACATATCCACCAATCTGTCTCTACGCTTGCTGTTGTGATTCAGGATGGAAATCTGTACGCTGGTGTGGATAACAGAGTGCAAGTCTTCAGTCAAAGGGCACTAGCAGTAAAAGAAGCTAATTAAATCTTGGCTAGCATAGGAAAGGGGAGGCAGGCGTAGGAGAAAGGTTCAGTGGGAAGATCCTGCCAGGAATAGGATCTCAGAAAGGAAAGAGCAGAAATGAAATGGCCCAGGAAAAAGCAACATGATCTGTCAGTGCTACAAATAACAGCAGGCTTCAAAAAACAATGGCTGCTTTCTGGGGGGGGGGGAGATGGGTAATCAGGTTAATCAGGGCAGTAAGGTGAACAATGCAGATCTGTAAAATAGAATGGGTGTTACATAAGGTAGACTAGAAAGTTCCCGGCCACCCCCATGACATACATGAGTAATACACAAATGGGGCAAGAGGAAATGGAAAAGAGATCTTAGGAATTTTCTGTGCAAAACACAGTTCACTTGTGGAACTCACTGTCATAAGATGTCACTAACTGCAAGGTCTGAATGGCAGTCAGAGAAAAAAAAATATATGGAGGAAGAGCTATATTCCTAATAAAGACAAAACTGTTTTGTATTATCAAATTTAGAAGCGATGTAGATCATCATCAATAAATCCAAGTAATAGGAGATAGGGAGAAACAAGATTAATCAGGGCTCTTGCAGCTTGCTCTGAAGTTGCTACCTCCAGCCATAACCAGAGGGTGAATACAGGCTTCAGCTTGGACTGAATGAGTATTCCCCTGGTGTAACATCTGCCTGGAGCAGCATTCATCTTTGGACAGCTTTTAGCCCTCTTGCTAGCACTGACTCTGGAACTGGATGCACAGAGCCAACTGGATATGACGCTTAAGTATTAAGTAGGACAAATCAAATAATGTTCCTTTCCTTTCTGCACGCTGTTATGGCACCTTATTGAATCAGGATGTTTCACTGAATGTCAGAAAAATGTTAACTCTCCAAATTTTTGAAGATGGGGCTTGGGAGCTCTCAAAAATATTACAGTCTAAATAATAATGTATAATTTACAAACAGTTGCCTCCTCAACCTAATCTAAGTAGGAATCTTGACTGTTTTGTTCTTCATATGTGGCAGAATCAGTTTCCTTTCCTTTCCAATTCAAGTAATTGCTACAGGAAATCTTTATACTTGTGTTCCATTTAAAGACTTAGATTTGTTTTTAGTGGAACTAGAAAAGAGCACAACCATGCAATGTAAATTTTCTTTAAAACTACAAAGACAAAAGTTCTACTTTTTTTTTTTTTTTTTTTAATACGAATAACTTTAATTTAACACATCTGGACAGCTTGCAGACTATCAGATAGTGCCTGTGTATCTGGTGTTCTAAGTACACTGGACAAATGCACTGGCTTCATGCAATAAAAAAAAAATCTAAGGACAAATCCCCACACTTAGAAAATATCCTTGCAGATCTACAGGACCACCAAACACCTACCTGTTTCAGGCAAGGAAAAAAGATGAGGGGTTATACCATGAAAGAAATCTTCAATCAATTCAAGTTGTCTGAAGCTTAGAAAGAAAAGAGGCAGCACACTTTTGTGACTGACACAGTTCTCCCTCAATACGGGCTGTTTTTCAACATCTCTGCTAACCTATATTTCAGAGGGAAGGAGATTTCTCAAACGGACTCCTTCACACTTGGGATTGAGCACCTTCTGTGTTACAAGACCTGAAGTCTGCTATCCTTAATCTGGCTGAAATACAGAGGGATGCATGATATGCACTTCACAGAAACAGTCTTTATGTTATATAGGAAATGTAAGGCACAGCGTCCTGCCCAAGGACATGGGAAGTCTGCTCAGCCCAGGAACAAAAAGCTGTTCCCTAGTTCCCACAGCAACAGTGCCTTCCTGCACCGGCCTTCCTGACCCAGCACTTTTGCCACGGGTTGTAGGTACAGGTTGTCTGTATGGCCCAGAGACAAACGAGGTGCAGACTGTCCTGGAGCACTTTTCTGACAGCTCTTTTCTTCAGAGCAGGATGTCACTTAGACTCATGCATACCATTACCATAAATAAACTCAGAACTGCCTAAATCGTGAACAGAGCTTGCAAGCATCTGTAAACATTTTATTTATTTTTTTATTGCTAGGTATACATCTGAATTTGTCCTTTGCTATTTATTTTTTTCCTATAAATGTTGGTAAATTATGATATTGAGAAAACTGCACCAAGCAGCAGCTGTGAGCTCATTCATTCCTCTCTTGAGCATTCTTGGCCCACTCTGGCATGCAACATAGGCTTGAGCACCTCACAGTGTTTCGCTGCTGTTCATCTCCACAGTGCAGTGTTCTGCCAGGCAGCTCCCCTCCCTGTGACTCTGAAGGTAGAAGTTCTTTCATTCAGCTGATCTAAGGATACGCTTCACTTCTTTGAGACCACCTTTTTTGATGCTAAAAAGGCCAACAAGCAAAGAAAAATATAACTCACCTAAAATACCATAGATGCTCGATGGACGATTGGACTATTAACTTTTCTTGATATTCCTTGAGTTCTATCAGTTTGTAAGCAGAACTGATGCTATTTTCATTAAAATGTTTAGCATAAAATGCCCTGGAATGAAAGCGAGGTAACAGATTAGTAGGCACACACCTTGCTTTAAACTAAAAAGTTTTTCCTTCCCTCTCTCTTTCTGCATTTCTCCCTTCCCTTTTGTTTTCTGTGCCTCCAAAGGTAGCAGAGTCGATAAAAATGCTGTGTGTAGGGGGGAGGGCAGATAACCTGATTCCAGCCCCTCACTCTGTTGTGTTAGGGCAGATTTAATCTCCTGAGCAGCACCAGCAAATAGACCTCAACGACTGCCATCTCACCTACCTCCTCACTCTCTCCTCTTTTATCTGGATTACTCTTTTCAGGGAGGAGATCTTATTCTTACTGGGTAAATTAGGCTATTGTTGCCCTGTAATTCTCTTTTTGCAAAATGTTTTCTGTTTGAACTTCAGGACACAGTTTCTGGGCAGTTACTGGGGAGGGCATGTGAGGAGGGATCTGTGTAATTAGGGTCAGGTTGTGTCCTATTTTTCCATTTTGCAGTATCTTGCTGCCTAGTGCTGTTGCCTAGTGTTGATTTCATGGAGATTTCTTACAGAAAACACAGATAAGCAGGATCAAGCTCGGCATTGGGACTGAAGAGAAAATTCAGGAGACGATGAATGCTGTGGGCACATGGCATCAGCTGGGTGTCAGGGTGGGAAGCAGGGCTGAGGGGTACGGGCCACGACCATGAGGGGCACCAAGGGAAGGCCAGAGCAGCAGAGCTCACCCCAAAACAAGGCTGCTGTGCCGGCAGGCTCTGCTCTGCAGACAGGGAGGTGCTGTTGGGTCCTCAGGACTGCTGGAAATCATAGTTCTGCTATGGGGTACACGTGCCTGTGGTGGGCCCCTCGGAGGCAGCCTCTGGGCACTGCTCTCATCACTTCTCCTCTCTGAGCAGCGTTAACTGTCCAGACCTGCGATGCTATTATTATTAATTGCATTTTTCCTACTCGGAAGGCCAAAGGCGGGCTGGCAGCTTCTGAGGGAGCCCCTGCAGAGCTCCAGGCATCTCAACCCCCCTTCAGCCCTCTGAGACTCCCGCCAGGAGCTGCATCCCCACGGCGGGGCTAAAGCGAAAGCGAAGCGCAGCCCGAAACCCTCCGGGGGCGGCGGCAGCCATGTGACAGCCGGGAAGCGGCCCGACCGCGCGGGCCGGCGGGGCGCCGGGGGCTGCGCACCCCGCTGCGGGCAGGGCAGGGCAGGGCTGGGCTGGGCTGGGCAGGGCGGGCGGCTCCCCCCGTCCCTCCCCTCCGCTCCCCGCGTCCCCCCCGGGCCGAGCCTGGCGTCCCGCAGCGCTGCCCCCGGCGGAGGGGACCGCCTCTCGCTGCCGCTCATTGGGGTGGTCGTCTCTCGTATTGCGCGGTTCTTATTTTCATCCCCAGCCGCTCCTGTCACTGCCGTCGCCGTTCCTCCCGCGCGTCCCGGCCCCGCCGCCCCTTTGTGCCCGGCGCGATGAGGCGGCCGCGGGCAGCGGCAGGTAAGCGGGGCGGGTGGCAGAGCTGGCGACCCTCGCGGCCCCCGCCCCAGCGCAATCCCGCTCCCACCCCGCCTCCTTCGCAGCCTCCGCTGCTCGCTCCCTCCTTCGTCACGCGGGGCTGTACGCAACAACGTGTTTATCACCGCCGCCCGGAGGGATCCCCCCCGGGCCCTTCCCAGGCCGCCCCTTTTCGATATTAAACCTGCCTCCCGCCGCGCACCTCCCCTCCCTCCGTCTTCTCCTCCCCCCCCGAACAATTTGTGCCTACTTTGATTTGTCCCCCCTTTCTCCCCCCCCCTTTTTTTGGTTTCCAAGGGACTCCTCTCCAACCTGTCTGTAGGTATGTTTGTGTAACCAGACACTGAGAGTAGCTGTCTGCCGGGAGCCCCCCGAGCTTAGTTTGCATTCAATAGAGGTGTTTGTTTTGCAGGTTTAAACCTCCAGACGGGTTGAAGAACGCGCCCGAAAGGAACCACTTGGCAGATTTGGTTTCCTCCCTTGAAGCCCCACTGGACGTGGAGCAGGTGGGGGTCGCGGGGTGCCGGGCTGCGGGGCGGAGAGGCAGGGGATGGGCAGCGCCAGGCGTCCGCTCCCGTTTGTTAAAAATAAATCCGACAGAAATTGGCACATTCCGTCGTTTTAGAGAAGTGGATTCTCTCTCCAGGATTAACGTAAAAGCAAAAAAAAAGCAAAAAAAAAAAAAAAAAAAAAAAAAAAAAAAGTCGATGTTTGAAGAACTGCTCTTGCTCAACCCGTAAATAAAGAGGAGATGTTGACAGTTTGTGAACGAGAACAACAACAACAAAAAACCAACAAAAAAACACCAACATTTCGTTTCTTGAAGGGCATCAATAATTGTGAGGGTGGGAGGGAGAGGAAGGAGTTTAACCATTAACCTTTATCTGGGATTGTAAAGAAGTTGAAACTCGCGTTTCTGAAGCTTCTTTTATGCATTTGCTTTTCTCTTCCTCCCCTGTGTTTCCCTTCCCTGGAGATGGTGAGAGGTAAATGAGGGCGGTGGTGCTGGCATTACAGGGCGAACAGGCGGTGTTGGGGCGAGCAGTGGGGGATGAGCGCCGTGGGAAGGTGGTCTGTGGTGCAGGGGAGGGTTGGGGGGGGGCACAGCAGCGGGGCCGGCTGCAGGCTGTGCGCTTACATTTGGGGTTTTGCTTTTGTGCCTCCAGATCCTTCGCTTGCAGACGCCCGAGGACGGTTTGCAGAAGGTAAGAGCCTTTCCCCAACACTTCCATCCTCGGGGCCACCTGAGCATTTTGCCGTACGGATGAGGCCCATCATATCATGTCTGTCCCCATGTCTCTGAACATTGGTGAGGGGCAGCGTGGGGCCCCTGTGGGCACACTGAGGGCACAGGGAACGCAGCTCTGCACGCAGATAGTGCTGGAGCTGAGGGATTGCTCCCTTCTGAAAATGGGACACCCTTCCGAGGGAAGGACACCCTTTGTTTTATGAGTCGGGATGTGTAAATTTAGGAAAAGCGGAGATGAAGAGTGCAGTGAAAAAGTTAATGCTATGACTGCTTGTTCCATGTGAAAGTAATCTGCCTAATGTAATTGGTTGTTTCCAGCAAATCCGATAGTACTAATTTCAGTGTGAACCGGAAAGAAATATCCTTGTGCTTTCTTAATTTTCAGCTTTCCAAAATGTGTTGTGCGCTACTTTGCATGGTTCTCGCCTGGAATAAAAGGACTCTCACTGCTTCTGAAAATAAACCGTGCCCAGGCAGGGAAGCTCTCCTCGCTGCGGGCTGAGTGAAGTGAAAGCAGGAGTTTGCTGAGGGGCGGGGGTGGAGGGAGATACAGGATCATAACATTGGGCAGAGCAAGTGCTTGGGGGGCTCTCTTTGTTTCCTTGTGAGCACTGCAGTTATAAGCTAAATACTCTGATCCAAAAGACGCAATGTTAGGTACTTTCAAATGGCAATTGTAACAATCGTAAAAGGCTTTTCCATTTCTTCTTTAAGAACAGCGTCTTGTCTGTCATTATTTTGTTATTCTTTTCATTAGCAATCGGAAATACACAGACTGAGTAATACTGCTTGTTCTCGTGAGTTACGGTGGAACTCAGCAGCATGCTCAGTCCTGAGGAGTTCCTCTATTGCCTCTCTCCCCCCCCCCCAAAAAAAAAAAACTGAATCCCTGCCAGCAACAAGTGTGCTGATACAGTGAGCTGCAGGACTTGGGCACGACGCCAACTCAAGCAATTTAAATGACATGGTTAATAGTGCCTCCACTGTCCTTATCACACAGTAGTTGTCTTTAATAAAGTCAGTGAACTTCCAAGTGATAATCATGAATGACAAATTAACTCAAGCCCTAACCCTCCTGTTCAAATGAATTCTGTTTTGCTCTGACTGATATAACTACTGATTTCAGTTGGACCACAACAATTTGCAAAACATATATCTCCTCTAAATATGTGATTTCTTTCAGGCAAATAAGAGCCAGTTAGTTTGTACAAAAATATTTCTGCAGTATTCCCATGGCTTCTCTTTCTGGCAGTGTCACTTTATTAAGTGTTTCAGTAGTAATAAGTTTACGTGGGGCACTGCATCCTTCAAAGGAATATTTATCAAACACTTCAAATTAGGAGATAATTTTACATAAAATTGATAAGTCAGTATAATATGTCTAAGAAGTTAAAACACTATAATTCCTGTAAAGTATTATTTATGGAAGTGAAAATGATTGCTCCATCAATTTCGGTTTGAAATGAGTAACCTTTAAATAGCAAGCAGTTCATAGAATTTCAGAAGTATCCACACTTAGAAGCAGCAGCATGCTGTTTCACCGTGGGAGTTTTGAAGTTTTTTCAAGTACCTCTAATGCTCATAGCAACTTTTTCCATTGTAGAATTAAAAGATTACGATGTAATGTGAAACTACAGAGGAGGCAGGGTAGTACAATTGACAGTTTAACTGCAAATTGCCTATATGATTACGTAGATTATGATTTTTGTTTTTTGAGAGATCTCATCTTGGTGATTTCCAAACCTGCTAAATCTTGCCAAAAGCCATAGGAGCACTCATGTTCTCAGCAGCTGTTAAGAACTTGCTAAGGCACTTAACAGTAAATGTTTCATGTCTTGTGCCTATGATTGAAATACAGTGCTGTGTGCTTAACTGTTAAGTTTGGAATACTGTTCCTAATAGCCAGGACTGTATTTTTGAAAATTACTATAATGAATGCAGATTATATCTTGTCACAAATTTGGTTTCTTGTTCCCTTTTTTTTTTTAAAAAACAAAATTAATTTATTATAAACTAGTGAAAACTAACTTGACTACTTATGTCTTAAAAGTAGCGATAATTAAATAATAAAAATTGTCAGTTACTTTCCAAAAAGCCGTGTACAAATGGAGCAGCCAGACAAGTTTGTGGGATTTTGTTTGTTTGTTTTTTAACTTTAAGGGTGGCCAAACGTATTGTAGCCACAACAGAAGTTATTTGAGTGCTGGCTTTTGTAAAAGTGAAATGCCCAACCTGAGATAGTGCTGAAGTGGTAGCATGAAACTTCTATGGCCTTGAGAATAGGGCAAAGAAGGAAATCTGCCTCTGTGTACAATTCATTGTATATTAGGTATGTCCATTTCAGTCTTTTGCAGTGTGCAACTGTTCTATTTGTAAAAATTAAACATTTGTGGGTTCCAAGTAACACTTAGAAAAATAGCTGGTGATAAGAATAGTTCTAGAAACAATTGCTGATAGCTGATAGGTTACTCCTTCTTTTTGGATGCTCTGAGATTATGTGGCTTTTCCGATAAGCAGGACGTGACTCTGAAAGCAATCGTCATTGTTACACTTTGTAATTTATGAGCTTTCTCCCCCCAGCCCTCCTCAAACCTGATAGCTCTTTCAGTTTCACAGTTGGCCTCATGTTCCACTTTTCTTTTTCCTTTGAAGGCTGGGCGGAAGGCTTGTCAGTATGTGCAGCCACACTGCTCAGTGCAGGGATGGGTGGCTAAGCTTGAAACCATATGGGTGTCGCTATTCAACAATTGTTGCTGCTGTTCCTGATTCCTCTTTCTTATTAAAACCGATGTTTGGGATCTCCTTATTGGCGTTGTATCACATTAGAAACCACATGCTTAACATCATGTACTTACATTATGACATTTTGAAAGATAAGGCCTTTAGACTTGCTTCTTTTGGGGGAAAACTGAATGCAGTTAGCCTACAGAGAAAAATGCTCAGGTTCAGAAATGTTGCCAAGATGCCAAGGTGCATCCTGACCACATGAGTGCAGGGCCTTTTCTCTCTAACATACATCTTTCTGTTTTATCCTCCCTTGTTTGTCACGTTCACTACTTAAGACCTGGAATCACTAACATGCACAGTGAGCACAGACTTACTGAGGAACACTACTGGAATGTTGGAGTAGCTGGAACAATTTTCAGTAAAGCAGTGACTGGCCACTGTGTTTTAAGCTCCTCAGGGCAGGGAATTGTCTACAGTGTATTTTCTGTAAAGGGCCTGGCATGCCTGTATGTGCCAAAAGATGATAAATAATAACAACCAGTAGTTGATAATTTATGTAGGCATTTATTTTTTTATTACGGAATTTGCCTATAGGGTGCTTTCTAGCAAAAAGAAAAACGCCCGACTGGCTTCCAGCTGGGCCAAGATGTGCCCTGACAGTGGGAGCAGCTTTCAGTTGAAACAGAGCACACATTTAATCAACGGTATCTTCTCTGAAGATGTCGGTCCAAAGCAAGGGCTGGCGTGAATCAGTCTAACTCCACTGAGATCTGTAGAGCCACGGCTGACTTGCACCAGATGATGTGAGTGTCCTTTTTGGCTTTAGCAGTTTTCCTTTAATCTTCTTGCCACTTAAACTTTTACTATGATCTGCCCACATTCCAGAAGCATGGAATGAAGATGGGATAACGTTTCCCTTACTTTCCTCCTCCTTTAAGCCTTTCGTGCATTCCTATTGCACAATGGTGTATGCTTTCTGAATTATATGTACTCTAATTCCATCTTCAAGCCTGTGAAAATAGCTGTTCCCCTCAAAGTCACACCTGAAAATGAGTGTCGTTATTTTCCTGTCTTGTCTAGCTTGCCAGATGTAGGTATATTATAAATAGTTTCCTGACTGAACTGTTTTTATGGTTAAAGATTCCTAAATTCTGTTGTTAGGAACTCTCTCATTAGAAATCTGTGTGAAGTGAAGAAGTTCAGAAACATTGCCCCCCACATCTATTTCCCAGAATCGTTTTATTGTGCCTGCCAAGTGTCTTAATGTTTTAGTTACTGAACTGCATCATCCATATGTAGTAATTGAAAATGCTAAGTGTGTGCATCTTGTGTGGTGAAAAGACTCGAGCAATAGTTAGGCAGTGAAGAAGAGAAATAAATTATTTTCCTTTTTCTTCCAAGCCACTTATAAACATTTTTCAAAGCAGTGTTAGTAAACTTATTCTTGTTAGACGTTGGAAAACTGTCTCAGAGTAGGGAGGCACTCATTTTCCAAAGTTCAAGTTAAATCTTCTTTCCTATTGAAATATAATGCATTTTTTAGAATTTCAGCACAACTGCTTTTGACAAAACTTGTTTTCTTAAGCAATGAAGTGAAGTAACCAGCTTTGGTAGATAGTTGCCCCAAATTAGAAAGATAGGATACTTGGGTGAGTGTGTGTGTTCAGACTTGGAAGCAAATGAGAAATCATGAATCCTACCCATGCTCCCCAAGCAGCTCTGAGAGGAATGTGATTAACTGCATAATCATACACTTTTGCTGAAACTTCTTCTCACCTTATGCTCATTTTTTTTCCTGAGGTTTATAAACTAATAATATCTTCAGTGAAAAAAAAAAAAAAGCAATAAGCTGAAAATATTGTGCCCAGATGCTGCACTAAAGAGGGCTGCACAGAAATGTCTGTATAGCCTGATAAAGAGTGATTTCTTCAAGTGGAAATGAGCATACTCCACTTCCTTTGAACAATCTGGAAAGTGACTTTCCTCTTTCCAATTTGCCAGTTCTTCCAGAGCTATAAAGGACTGTAGTAAGTAAAGCTTTCACCAAAATTTTACTAAAGCAGGACAGATATGTAATTACAACATCTCAAGTGATTCAATAGAGATATGTAGAAAAAAAACAATATTATGTGCAATTAATTTGATTCTTACATGCGCTCAGATCTAGATTTCATTTGTTGTTAGGAAAAGCTTTGATTGGAAATTGTGCTGCAAAAGGACAAGATGCCAAAATTAATGCACTTTTGCCTTTGATTTTATTTTCTATTGGTGATACGATCTTTGCTGAAAGTGAAAACATTATAACTAAATTTTAAACTTGACTGTAAGGCTGCATGGCCACTTTCAGAAATGTGTTGTCTTCAGTATACTTCTAACTAGTGAGAGAAGAAATGTTTTCAGCCTTTTTTGTACCTACGGTTTTATTTGTTGGAAACACTTTGCATGTCTTAAATTAGTCCTGATAGGACATCACCTCCAATTGAGTTAAGAGCATTAATACCAGCTGAAAATCAAATACTGACTGGAGATTCCAGTCCTACTCAGATAATATTCAATGAAGACAGATTTCATAGCATGTTATTATAAGGAAAAGTTCTAGATTTTTATCGAAGGATTTCCTAAAAATACAAATGTATAAGATGTTTTCATAGGAAAGAAAAGTCCTGTTATTTACTGTTATAAATGTTTTTCTTATACGTCTGTGGTATTTACAAATTTCAGGCAGTGAGGAAGAATCAAAATGCCATACTGCTGCACTGTAGATTTTTGGGCCAAGTGGTGTTTTTGGGGTTGCAGACACTGCTCTGGAATTTAATTCATAGAGAGATACATAAAACAATTTCTCTGTTCAGCTCTTGAAGATTTTACCGACTGCAGTTAATGAAATAGACAATGATTTTGTTAAATATTTTCATTTAAAGTATTCTGAAAATTAAAAAATATATATATTTCAGAAACGTGCAAAACACAAGTAGATGTTGGAAAGAGATTTTGGGGAAGTAAAATAAGAAAATAAATTAATATGTAGAGTTAAGTAAAACTGGAATCTAGAAATGATTGCTTCTGTTTGTGATTGCTTTGTCCATAAAGAGAAAAAAACTCTTGACAGGTTTTTGGTTTTATAAATGTTGCAACTGCATTTGAAAAGCAGCAGAAGAAGTAATATATTGTAGATTGCTTTTAGCTGTAGCTAGGATTTCTTAAGGCTGGATCTCAGGATTTTAAGTTAACTGGAGGTCACTCCCTACCATCGTGCACAAAAACTGCACGATGCCTACTCATGGAAGGTTTTTGTTTTGAAATCAAACTTTTTTTTTTCCTATAAAAACCATAAATAATTCAAGTAATACACTGTGTTCGCTGCTGTCAGTAACAGAACTCCGTAATTTTGTCAGATGGGGATTTTATCCTTCCACCCTTGCTCTGCAGACACGCTTGCGCAAGTTCAGCGTCCAGTTCTCTGAATCTGACTGCGGTGTGGGGGGAACACATGGGCCGTGCAGGCTGAAAGTTTGCGTGGGAATGCTTGCAAGATCAGAGCCTTGTACTATAAGTCGGCCTGTGTGATTTCAAAATGAAAGTGTATTCAAAGCCTCAGAAATAACCACCCTGACTTTAAATGTGCGTTTGTGGAATCCTGAACTCTTCTAGTTGTTTTTCTGTGACTTTGTATGCCGAGTTATGTACAATAGAACCTACCAATTAAATAATAATTGGGAAAAAAAGAGAGAGAAAAATATGTCTGACCAAAGGAATTGTTAGAAACGACACCGTTTGATAAGATCATCTACTGAAAATAAGGGGGGAAATGAGATCTGACTGAGGTAAAACCAGGTAAATAGCTTTCAGCTCAGCTTTTGTTATTCAAGAAGAAAAAGAAACAATAGGTGCTGTTTAGAGTCAGGAGCTGCCCTTCTAACCTCTGCTGCTCTTAAAATGCCTGAAGGTTATTGCATGGTTCACGGTGGCTTTTATGCTTGCAGTTCAACTTTTAATTTTCTAACAAAAGGGGATGTAGCAGCAGCCTACTGATAAACACTGTGCAGAACAATCGGAGAGAAAAATGGACTGCTGGATTCCTCACGCTTTTTCCCTCCTTTCCAGTTACAGAAGTATGTTGGCATGCCTTTAACGGCAAAAAGCAGTGCCTCTGATGTTAAGGTGTCAAAACTGGAGGCTGCTTTTTTAAAAAAAAGTACAAACTGAAACAGGATGCATTTTTGCATTAAATAGCCCCAGCC